ACTCTATGAAAACTGTATATCTATATATACAATCAAAAGAATTAAAATTATTGAAAAAAATTTCATCATTTTAAATTCTTTTCAATCAATATTTTTAAACAGGGCTATATAGCTTTCATAAATTTTTTTAATTTCTCATTTGTTCATACTTTATAGCAATTTTTTGGGATCGTAAGGAGTGCTTGTGGGTGTAATGAACATCCAGATCCTATCATATTTGGACAAGTATTCAGATTACTCTGCTCCTATTCTTTAGTTACGCCACCAAAAGGATCAAATGTAACTGCCGTTGAACTTTTGCAATCATTGATGGAGACAAAAGAATCACTGATGCTAAGTCAAGATAAAAAATCAAAGTGGCTACAGAGATTAGATTCTATAATTGACAATGGATTCATTGAAGAAGACGATATTTACCGAAAAAAAAGCGTCGCAGTGAGTCATTTTGAGAATTTAGTTGATACGAGTGAAGATGACACTGACGTCACGTCTGCCACCAATGATTCATCAAAGTCAAGGACTACGAATTTTCTTGAAAAAAGGAGTGTAGCTAAAAGACCTTTTGAGAGTTTAGTTGACTCTAGTGAAGATGAAAACAATAATGTTAATTTGGATTCTGCTATTACTGATGGGTTACAAGCTAATGATCCTCATGAACATCATGACTATGATGTTGTTAGTACAAGCGAGTTTGTTGTGTCGTATATTGCTGGTTACGTTGCCAGAAAAATGCAGCGATTTTCTCGGTGTCATCTTTGCTTGGCGAGTCTAGAGTCTGATAAATCTTCTCATAGAGATCGAGTCATTGATCTAATGAGTGAACAATGTATACGTCCAAGTAATAATCTATATTCTTTGATCCAGCAGTTGGAAAATATTGTATTGACTGTTGTTGGGACAAAGACAGTTAGGTTTGATACGATGAATCATATTTTAGATAAAGTCGCAGAAGAAAAATCACTACCTTTTGTTGGTTGCCAAGAACATCAATTCACGTTGATGAAAAAAATATTAAATTACTTTATAACTATTAGAGGTCATTTCTTAGCTAATCATATCAATAAGAATTATAAGCAAAAAAGTATTAAAAATAAAAAATTACGTAAAATTTCAAAATTAGTGTAAGTTGTGCTTATCGGAGTTTTAAAAGATTTTTACAAATGTTCATCATACTTAACACTTTTATAATGTTAACTTTTATAGTTATTAGTAATTTTAATGCAGAGTTTTTATGTAAAAAAAAAAAAAAACATTTAAATAACAATATATATTTTTTAATAGACGTTTACGTTTATTATTTTATTTTTTATCCTTATAGAAATTATTTTTTTCATACTTCACTTGTATGAATGCTAATTATAAACAGACGAAGGAATTCATTGTTAATACTATTTTTGGTATTTTATAATTATAAAGCTTCTTTTAGAAAATGAATTTAATAATTTTAAATCTATTCAAAAGGTCCTTCTCTTAATATGTTCATTTTTTATATGAAATAATTTATTATTTACTCAAAAATTTAAAAATAATTAAGTCATTATAAAAGTAACAATCTAGTTAAAAAATTAAATGTGCCGTTAACTTGTTATTTCAATATTATTTTCGATTTCTTAATTATTTATTGGAAAATCTGTTAAAATTGGAGTTGTAGGTTAAGTATAGCTTACGCCTCGTTATACTTATACTCTTAACCGCTAAATTCAAAATCTGGATTGCAGCAGTAACAGCGCACTCTGTAATGAAACTTTATTTTCTCTACTTTTCGTGGACACTTCTGATACTATACGTTCGAGCTCCTTCTATCTAAGCTCCGTGACTCGTGTTTTGTGTGACAAGGCCATGTTCGTGAATCGTTTTTAAGTGAAATAATTTTTTCATTTTAATGAAGACGCCTGCGCGCATTAAACTTTCAATTTGTGCAGAAATAAAATAAATGCATTTTTAGAAAAATAATTTTATGCGCATATCCTCAGTATGAATACTTTTCAATATATCAAAACCCAAGCGGCACTTGTTTTATTTTTTCACTAATGTCATGTTGAATTTATGTTGACGATTATTAATTTTTAACTTCTTGTTGAGTTAAATCTACCAAGAAGTCAACATTTTAACATTTTTTTTGTGACCCTTGGAATGTATTAATAAGTAATATGGAGGGTAGAAGTAAGGAGGACCATCTCAGTGTATTAAAAAGTGTCCGTTGAAAGCCAGCATATTAAGATGGCGCTATAGTAGCAGGTGGAATAATTTTAAAAGGAGCGCCACAAATAATTAGAGTGGGATACTAAATTAATAAAGGAGAAAAACTTCCGCTTTGTTATGAGCGCATTTTTTAAAATTGTTATAATATACAAACATGTATATGGAATAAAATTATTCCCCAATTATTTGTAAATAGTTAATAGAAAATAGTATCAACACAAAAACAGCTTCGCTGTATATAATCACGCCAAGTCCACGTTCATATAAATAATAATAATAATGAAAGATAAAATTAAGCATTCTGTACTTTACAAAAAGATGTGAAATAACAAAAATACCAAGTACCGCTGTGATTTATTTTCAATAAGCGAGAAAAAATTTTGTTAAAAATTTAACAATTGAAAAAAAAAATTTTTTTAACGTACTTGGCGTGCGTCATTGAGTAATCTAGTTGCAGTATAGGTTTCTTTTCATTGTATGAGATGAATGTTTTACAACGCATTTTATTAGTCAAAGGAATAAAAAATTATCTGCACGTTGTTATACCGTATAGAAAACTGCGTTATTGTATACAAATGTACAGTATGAGCTGTGATCTATTCATAATCAATAAATTTAACATAATACAGCTTTTCGTATAACAAAAAATTCTCGGGGTGAGAGTAAAATAAGCTAGTCAATTGAACTGTTTGTTTGTAAATAATATTTTCAACAGGGTCGAAAAAATTTGAAATACTCAATGACGAACGCCAAGTACGTTAAAAAAATTTTTTTTTTCAATTGTTAAATTTTTAACAAAATTTTTTCTCGCTTATTGAAAAAAAATCACAGCGGCTCTTGGTATTTTTGATATTTC